GGGCTCCAGCCCTCCCAGCATCTCTGTAGGAAGGTGGGCAGGGCAGCTGCCTCAGCAGCAGAGGAAGAGCAGCCACGCTCAGGCATCTCAGCAAAGCTCCGTCCAGCAGGGACAGAGAAGAGGCAGGACCCGAGGAAGAAGGGGTGCTGGTAGCCCTGCACCCCCAGCCCCTCCACGGCTGGCAGGGTCTCACCTACCTGACAGTGATCTCGCGCTGGGTGGCAGAGCAGGGTCATCCGGTGTGGCAGGAGGGGAAAGAAAGGACGTCGTCACTGCACTGCCCAGGCACAGCCACCCAGTCCAGCTCCCACCCCAAGGCAGGAAAACCACTGCTGGGCACAGACAAGGGTGGGCCACCAGGGCACAGCCAGGGGCTAGTGAGGTGGGGACAGCAGAGACTGTAAAGAGCCGAGTGGGATGGAGGGGGACAGCAGGCAAAGGAGGCCAGGCGCCACTGCCAGGGGGGGTGCTGCGCCCAGACCCCTCCCCATCTCCCCAGCCCTCGTGTCACAGCCCCGAGAGCTGCACTAGGACCTTTTGTTCAGAGAGAGGGGACCCCGGGCACCTCAGAGTGCCCCAGCAGCACAGGGCAGTGAGCAGCCTCCTCCTCCTCACCCGCGCTCACCACAACCAGCCCGTGCCTCACCTTCTCCAGCTGGCTGTGTACGTGCTGCACGATGAGGTCCAGGGCCACGGAGTTCTCCCCACCTGAGGGGAGAGCGGAGGAGCCGGGTGAGGCACGGGGTGAGCCCAGCCCGTCCCAGGAGACCCTCTCCCACCGCCCCGTCTCACCCCGCGGCACCACGATGTCGGCCACCTGCACGGTGGGCTCGATGTACTGCTCGAAGGCTGGCTTCACGAACTTGTTGTATTGCTTGATGACGCCCACGATGTCGCGGCCCCGCTCCATGATGTCGCGCTGCAGCCGCCGCACCAGCCGGATGTCGGAGTCCGTGTCCACAAACACCTTCATGTCCAGGAGCTGGAAAACTGGGAGGGGTGAGCACCCCCGATGCAGCCCCCCCGTCGGACCTGCCTCACTCCCCAGCCCCAGCGATGGCATCCAGCGCCGTGCCTGCCCTGCAGCCCCTGACATGGGGGTGGCTCTGCCAGTGAGTGGTGGGTGACCCCTCCTTCCCTCCCTCTG